TATTGCGGCTGACATGCAAATAACTGCTTCCTCTGACCGTTTCTACCCACTGATTTGTGTGTCTGGGAGAATCTCACTTGTCTCAGGGTAGCTACTTTCATTCTAAACACAAACTCATTTGAGTCATAAAAATGGCTCATTAGAATCTTTGTAATGGCATGTATCACTAATTTTTAAATGAACTATATACTTTTTAAAGTAAATACCTGAAGTATATAGAAAGCTTCGCCAGATTTGTTTACATTCTTGGCTGTGGTGAAGCTGCATAGCCACTAGAATATTAATGTTTCTAACAAATATCGATGTTTATTTTTAACTCAGACTGTCACTATTTTTCACTGTATGTGGTTTACTTTTTATGCCTTGTTACATATACTTTTTATTTTTTGGTCACAGTGTAAAAGCAAAAATAATTGTATAATTTTGGTGACAAATTACCAATAATGCCCGCTTTCCCCCTTGCTTTCTCTTCACTCTCTCTGCTTTTTGTTTCTTTGTTTAATTTTTTCCACTGTTCTTTGTGTCAGATGAACATTTTTAGAGTTATATTTTGCTTTTTCAGTATTATTTTTAGGTGCTCTTTTAAAGAGAAAAGTCATTTTGGATTAACCCCCTTCTCTGCCCCCACAGCTAGCATAACCTTTTCTTGACTGCACTGTAAAGACCTTATTTCCGAACAAGGTCACTTTCATAGGTTCCAGATAGACATTAATTTTGGGGTGACACTTCAATCTAGCACAGTCTAAGTAGGGTAAATCTTTCTACATTGTTCTTCAGCATTATTTTAGCTGTGCTTGGCCTTTGCTATTCCATATACATTTTAGAGTTAGCTTGACTAGTTTACTGAAAAATTCTGTTGGGTATTGCTTGAAATGGCATTGAGTTTATATATCCTCTATATTGTATTGAATCTTTGTATCTAAGAATGTGGTGTAACCTAATTTATATAAACTTTTAACTGTCCTTCAATATAATTGTGTAGTTTTCTTTATAAAAATATTTGACATTCAATTGCTGTCATAAATAATACATCTTAAAGATTATATTTTAAACTGTCACTGATTCATGAGGATGCAGTTGTTTCTAAATGTTTACTTAATAACCCAAACTTCTCTGAACTCATTAATTTTAATAACTTTTATCTGTAGATTCTCTTGGGAGTTTTTTACACTTACATGTTTTTACTGTCTTGCCTCTGGCTTGGTTGCTGTCAATTTCAGATTATAAATTACCAGAGAGAGGACAGAAAATTTTCTTTAATATGCTTTATAAAGTAAAAAAACATTGAACTGCCCTCTGAATGATATGAAAGGAGATCCTTAAGTCGTATCAGGGAAGGAAAACTTCTGTCGTGTGCTGTGTTAGAGGAAGTAGGGTAAATACCAAAAGTAGAGAGACAAAAAGGGCTGAATTAGAGGGTGCAGTATGATATGTAACAGAAGGCTGACTATGCCTTTGTAAAGATGGGTTTACTAATGAAAGGCTATGAGTTCAGAATTGTTTGTCTTTTGTTTTGAAGATGGTCAATAAAACTATTCTTCTAGGACAATCATGTTTTAATTCTAAAGGTCAATGCAATTATTTAGAGTGTGTGTTTCTGATGTTCTTAAGGGTTAGACAAGGGACCTGAAAATCTGGGACAGGAAATCTTATGAGAGGAAATGATTGAATAAAGTTTGGGGAGGAGATAATAGAATGTTATTCGATTAAAACTCCAAATTAAAGAATTAATGAAGTAAATACATGAACTTTCTTCCCTGAGACACCCTTCCTGTGTCCCAAAGCTAGATTAGGAATCACTGTAAGGTGTTGGCATGAAGGCAGAAGGTAACATTGCATTAATATTCAGAACCAGATAGAAAAATATTTGGAAAATTGGATTTATCTTAGAGCACCATGAGAAATAAGTAATGAGCTGTGTTAATTATTACTGAGATATCTGTGGATTAGAGAAAGCTGAATAAAGGAGGGGTTGGATGACAAATGTCTTAACGCTAGGCAATTATCACTTGATTATTTTTATACTATTATAATTGAATAAAATATAAAAATACATTGTTGGGGTTGGGGATTTAGCTCAGGGGCACAGCGCTTGCCTGGCAAGCGCAAGGTCGTGGGTTCAATTCCCGGTACTGGAAGAAAAACAAAAACAAAAACAAACAAACAAAAAAATACATTGTTTATAGATGTTTAAAAGACAAAAACAGAAAAAAATCTTAGAGATTTAGGACTGGAAAAGTGATAGTTTTGCTTTTTCTTAATTTTGATAGCCTAACTCACATAGTAAATTGCGGAAAAAGCAGTTATTTAATTAAAAATAAAAAGATGTGTATTGCACTGAAAAGTTGGTGATCACACTCATTTGTATTAGCAATAGCAAACTGAGTTTATCATGCATATAGCCCCATCTTGGCACTGTAAAGTAAGTATTAGAGTGGAGTTGTCATTTCTGGGTCAGTCCATGTAGTCATGGCTGGAGTTTCTAGAGATCACATGGGCCCTGGAACTCTAATAGGTCCTTTTCTGAAAGATCAACATACAATAGACTTAGAAATCTACCGTCTTAGAATTGTTTGTGCTCGCAATATAAGATGTTAGTATTCCATGGAAGGCTAGGATCCCTCCCCCTTCCTTCCTTCCTTCCTTCCCTCTTTTTTTTCTTTCTTTTTTTGAGATGGGAATTGAAACCAGGGCCTTGTGCATGGGGAACATATTTCTTTAAGCAGATATTTGTATGAATTCTTTTACTTCATATCTTATTAGAAATGTTTCATGAGGACAGAGATTTTTGTCAATTTTGTTCACTGATGTATCTATACTACTTAGAATAATGCCTAAGAAGAAATGCTTAGTAAATTGTTATTTTTGAATGTATAAATGCATAGATGAAAAGAGCATTACTGGTACTAAAAGCATTTTTGTCATTGTGCTAAAAAAGTGTTGGGCTGGGGATATAGCTCAGCGGCACAAGCCCCTGTCTGGCAAGCACAAGGTCCTGAGTTCGATTCCTGGTACCAAAAAAAAAAGGGCTGCAGGTCTCTTGAAAGATCTTTTCAGTCTTTTATAGCTTTGTTATTAGAAGTTTGTTATTATTCTGCATTCTTTTTTCCCCTTGGAAGTAGAATTTAACGGAAGTACACTTTCAGGGATTGTGAGGGTAGAGACAAAAGTACAGAGGAGATTGGTGCACATTTCGGTTCATCAAAAATTTTACTTTCAGTTTTTCTTTTTCCAAGTTCAGTTGCAGGCCCCTCTGGGGCAAGTGAGTGTGAGCTGCATTATTCCAGTATAGCTGCATAATTAGGATGGCCCTGTGTGAACCTATGGAATCTGGGGCATGTGATGAATGGAACTGTTTTTGCTGAAGTGTCAAGAATTCATTTACATACCAATGGATTCTTGCCAGACACACATTCACAAGACTATTCTTTATTTTAGATTCAAATATACAGTAGATCTGATGTGCTCAGGCATGCATATTGAATTTCTTCTTTTTGAATGTACTGTAACGCAAAGGGAAACTTTTTTGAAGACAAAGTTACTTATGAATAACGTGCCTCAGATCTTGGATTATTAATTGAGGATCTGCTTCTGTACTTTTGCTCTGGAAGAGCTTATAAAGAACTTGTTTATATGGGTATAATAAAATTCTAGATAGGTAATTTCTTTAAATATTGGGGGGTTATTTAAGTGAATTATTAGAATTAAAACAGTTTTCTTCCACCATTTCTCAGTAGTATATTTAGAGGTGAAAATTGTGTGAAACATGGAATTGCAGGAACTGGCATTGATTAGGCCAAAAAAGAGAATTTTCCTATAACACCATTCACATACTTTCATCTTAATGGTGAAGGAATTTTTGTTGTTGCTTAAGAAGGTCCATTAAATTAATTATTTCTAAGTGAGTTTCATGACTGAATAGTTCTTTGGACATATTGCAGAGTTCAGAATTTTTAGAAGTTGTCTTCTGTTATGGTTTGTGTCTGGGTGTCCCCCCAAAGCCTCAGGCAGTCACAGGACTGGCTTCTAGAATTTATGATTGATTCATGGTCCATTGTTGGAATTATGGATGTGAATGCTACACCCACCCTGGGGTGGGTAGTTTGCATACAATGTAAGGGAGGGAAAGAGGCTGATTTCCATCGCTTCTCCCTTTTGCTCTTGTTGCTTTTGCTGTCTTCCGCTGCCATGAACTGTTGCCCTCTGCCTTGTGCCATCCTGCCTTGGAGCCAGCCAAGTATGGACTGAAACCTCCACAAATTGTGAGCTAAATAAACCTTTCCTTCCTTAATTCTGGGCATTGGGTATTTTGTCTCAGCAATAAGAGAATAGTAACCAAGACATCTTCATTTTGAAAAAAAAAAATAACTCACCTCCCCTATAGCAATTTTTTTGTCTTTGCATATATTTCCTACTCTAATTTCTTTTCCTGGATCTGGCAACCCAAAGCAGTGTTTGGACTTTCATTTTGCTGGCCAATGATTGGTTTTTATTTGCAGTTAGAAAGGACATTTTAAGGTCTATTAGTAACCTATTGTCATGCTTTCCATCCATAACTAATGTCCTACTTTGAGTGTTTTGTATTTCTTCTTTATATAAATTAAGAGGTTGTAGCCAGGCATGCTGATGCACACCTGTAATCCCAGCACTTGGGAGGCTCAAGCAGGAGGATTGCTGTGAGTCTGAGGCCAACCTGGGCTACAAAGTGAGCTCAAGGCCAGACTGAATTGCATAGTGAGACCCAGTCCCCAATGGACAAAAATAAAGAAATAAATAAATTAAGAGGTTTTAATAAAGTGGTTATGTTGATATATGGAACACAGTATGATTTTTTTGTTTTGTCTATTAATATATCTTTATGAAACATAATAATCACATTAATCTTAGGAAGCTGATATATGTACATATCTCATTAAGCGGGTTTTAAAGACTGAATACCTACTGATTTTTTTTTAAATTTTAAGGAAATCATGAATCTTATTTTTTTATATTACAGGCAGCATATCTTCATATTCTCTGTTACAGCTTTGGAGTAGAGACTTACAAGCAGAATAAATATGAAGAAAGTTCTTTCTGGTTTAGGTAATATAAACAAAAATTGAATGTAAATTTAGGAATATAATAACAGGGATCAGTTAATATTTATCATAGGATACTTTGGCAGTTAAAACCTCTGACTTAAGAAGCCAACATACTAAATTGATTTACTTCTTTACCATGTATTATTATTCTTATGTGTTGCCAGGTGGTAGAAAACTGTATTATTTTCTTAATCTACTCTTACCAACATTTTTGCCCCTCCCATTCCTCCTTTGTATCTCTGTCAAAAGTATGAAGAATTTTATTGTTGTTGATTTGGTACTTACTGCTGTCTCACAACCTCAGAGTAGAAGGTTGAAGAGTAAGATCAGCTAAAATTACTAGTCTTAGGTGAGTTTTAGTATTTGAGTATCTGTCAAGTAAGTATATATTTAGCCCTTACTGTATTCTGAGTACTATACTAAGATTTGTACTGTTGCAATGAATCTAGAAATATTAAGAGAATAATACAAAAACATAGTAAGTACATCTAAGAACCCTGTTTTTCACTGAAAACCGAAGCCCAGCACAGATTCTGACACTTGGTAGTTTCTTGATAAGGAAACTTAAATTAATGTATGTGAAAAATGTATTTTTTGGGATTTGCCACATAAAGTGGCTTGAATAGCAAGGATTATGGAGTAAAATATACCCAGCCTATTCACTAGATACTGTCTTTGCCCTTTGCCCTTTCTGAGTTATTTGTAGATACTCCCATGATTATTTTAATTATAGTTTAACTATTGTAAAAATTATATTTGTCATTTAAGGAAAAGCAAATATAACTATGGCCATTGAGATTATTGCATTCACAAGACTATATTGCTTCTAACAAAATATTTATGCAAATATGCTGTTCATGTAAAAGACTTTTTAGAGCCCCAAATTTGATCAAACTGTTTAAAGGACTATACCTACTAAAACAGGTTTATGCAATCTTAAGATACACTCTTGTCTCAATTTAAAGTGCTTCCTGTAATTGAAATATACCTGACATGTGTATTGCAAATCATACTTTTATAAATTGAGTTCTTAAGAGAAAAGAAAAAGTGTTAAAATGTGCTATGTACATGTAGCACCTCCTCACGATGAATGTAATCATTATGTACCGCAAACATGTACTAGCAAAAATAAAAATTAAAAAGTACACCAAAGCAATTAACTAGTATAGCACAGGTTTCATCTAAATGAACAGCCTTGCATAAAATGCCTGATGACTAAATTCCAGTGCAGAATTTGGCATTATTGGGGAGTAGAGCAATCACATTTATAGCATCAACTTATCTAAAGAGTGATATGCCAAGAAGGTAGGAGTGGAAAGGTAGAAAACAATATTGATGAGCTGGATGGCTTCTGAAAATTTAAGACTAGAGGTGAGATTGAAGTTTATGCCAAGAATAAGGGTGAACTAGGAGTCATATGAATCAATGTTCTCAAGGAACTGCTCATAAGAATATATTGCGGTTTGAAGTGGCATAACATAAGTTATTTTCATATACCTCTTCTCTATTATTATTTTTGAAAAAAACTTTACAGCAGGAGAATGTGGTGATGATAGGTCATGACTGGTACTCACATCATAGACTAATTATGTCAGATCTGTACTGAGTTTGATGTCCAGTTTTGTAGGAATTTCATAAAACAATATATTATAGCAAATTTGTAGAGCACCAGCATATTATGAGTCTTTTGTGTTCTCATCACTGGATTGATATTGAAGAAAACAGAAAGAACTTGAACTCTAGCCCCAGTTATTATGTATAATTTTTATCTCTCTGCATGATTATTTTGCCACAGTTCTTGATGATATAAAAATAACTTGGTGAAATACTTTAACATGTTTCTAATTTTTAAAAAGAGGCAAAAATAATTACCAATATTATCAACAATAAGAATGTTAGCATGTTGAATACTTTTTCTGGTACTAGACTGACTCTCAGGAAAAGTTTTTTGCCATCTATGACATTTGTACATAATTTGTTAATATTATTGTACTTACTTTTTAGAATTGTTCTAGGGTTTAAATGCTATGATGCATATATTGTAGAGTATACCATGCCTGGGGAATAGAAACCATTCAATAAATGGTAGCTGCTGCTGCTGCTCTCTTTAGGTGATGTGCTTGCTATTTACTACAAATACATACTGCTTTGACCACTCCTAGTTTATTCTAAAATGTGTCACAGTAAAATAAAGCATGGATTACGTGTTGATTCACTGGTAAAATGTCATAGACATCTACATCCTCTATCATATGCTATCAATCTTTGGAACCCCTTTTCGTCATATTTATTTACATCCATGTATTAAGAAAACTATTGGGAAGTTATTGATACAGACAGAAATAAATAATTGCCAGTTAAGTATCCTTCTCTGTAAATTTTATACCAGAAAAATCTATGGAAAAGGAGTGTATTTTCTTTTTTTTTTTTCCTCCAGTACTGGGAACTGAACTCATGACCTTGCACTTGCCAGGCAGGTGCTTTTGCCGCTGAGCTAAATCCCCAGCCCCCAGGAGTGTATTTTCTACAGCTTCATTCACTTGAGAATACTGAATGAATAATCAGGAGGGAGTATAATTTGGAAATATTCATTCTAAAAATAAAAACTTCATTTTTATTGATTAAATTTGTTTTAACTCACATAAAAACATATAAGTTCTACATACAAATGGAGTACCATATATTGGTTTTTTGTTTGTTTGGTTTGGTTTTTTTTGCTGGTACCAGGAATCGAACTCACGACCTTGTGCTTGCCAGGCAGGCGCTGTGCTGCTGACCTAAATCCCCAGCCCCCGTATGTTGTTTGAATACATGTAAATATTGTATAATATTTAACAGGTTAAACATATATATTTCCTCAAATATTTATCATTTCTTTGTAGTGAAAACATTTAAAATCCTTCTAGCTTTTAAAAACATACAGTACAAACTTGTTGTCTGTAGTTACTCTTTCGTGCACTAGTACCTGAGCAATTGCTACTTTGACTGTAGCTTAGTACCCATTGTTCAACCTTTCTCCATCCTTTCCCACTGCTGTCTTTCGTGACCACCATTCCACTCTCCACTTTTAGGAGATCAAATTTTAAGGATTTCGTATATGAGACACAGCATGTAATATTTGCCCTTCTGTGCCTGGTTTATCTACTTAATAATGTTCTCTAGTTCCATCAGTGTTGTCACAAATGTCAGAAATTCATTCCTTTTTATGGCTGAATAGTATTTCAGTGTGCCTATATACCATATTTTCTTTATCCATTCACCAACTGATGGAAACTTAGGTTATTTGTATTTCTTGGTTACTGGGAATAGTGTTGCAATAAACTTAAGAATGCAGATATCTCTTTGACATACTGATTTCATTTTTTTTTTGGATACATGTCCAGTATTTGGATGCTGGATCATGTGGTAGATCTAGTTTTAATTTTGGGGGGAGCTTCCATACTGTTTGCCATAATGGCTGTACTATTTACATTCCACCAATGGCATGCAAGGATTTCCTTTCTTCCACATCCTTGCCAGCTCTTGTTATTTTTTCTTTCTTTTTTTTCTGATAATAGTCATTCTTCCTAGACTGAGGTGATATCTCATTGTTGTTTTATTTGCATATCGATGACAATTAATGATGTTGAGCATTTTTCATCTACTCTTTTGTCATTTGTATGTCTTTTGAGAAATGTCTGTTGAGGTCTGTTGCCCATTTTTAGTGTTATTTGCTTTGTGCTATTGAGCTTTTTTAGTCTTATATATTACAAATATCAATCCTTTGTCAGGTGTATATTTTGTAAATATTTTCCTCCATTCTGTAGGTTGTCTCTTCACTATGATGTTTATTTTCATTGTTGTTGTCATTGTGTGGAAGCTTTTTAGTTAGATGTAATCTCATCTATTTTTTATTTTAAAGAGAAAAAACAATAAAAACAATGATACAGAATTTTAAAACAAGATAATAGGAAATTAACAACGGCTATAATATTGTATATTATTATCTTCAAAGCAGTTACTCATATTATAAGATATAGGTTTGCAAAATTGATCAAACATAAGCACAAACCATTCCTTTCAATGAACTAATAGAGATTAGTAGTATAATTATCTTAGCTATCTTGT